TAACCATACACCAGTACCTGCAACACCATTAAAAAGAAGCAAGAGCAGAGAGGGCATCTCCTTGCCTATAAAGCTTTTGACATCTATTCTCCCTTGAGCCCCTCAACAAGCCTATGAAAAATGGAAAGTAGGCATCATTTATTCCTACTTTACTGATGAGACCCAGAAAGGCCAACTTGACTGAAGATACCTGGCAAGTTCAGGACAGTACTATGGCCAGCACCCAGCCACCTGTCTCCTAAAGCAGTGCTCTCTCCTTTAGTAGTTGCCTTGGAATACCTGTCACCTGCACATCCCTAGGATATGTAAATGCATTCCCTAAATCGTTTTTTTTTTTTTAAGATTTTATTTATTTATTTATTTGTCAGAGAGAGAGAGAGAGCACAAGCTCCCTGCCGAGCAAGGAGCCCGATGTAGGACTCGATTCCAGGACCCTGGAATGACCCAGGACCTGAGCCAAAGGCAGACATTTAACCAGTCGCCACCCAGGCATCCCTAAATTCTTCTTAAAGCCTCCAAAGAAATTTTGGCAGAATTCGTATTAACCTTAAAAACAGGTCTATGCCATCTGATGGGGCAGGAATGTGATGGCAAATAAAACAGAGAATGCAAGAGAATTAGGAATCTTTGCCCTCATAGTTTCAAGAATTTTTTTTAACTTGCTAATTTCATCACAGAGACGCAGAACTACTTCTTGGCCTCATCAATGACATCATTCTGAACAATGAAAATATACTCATTATGCCAAGTTCCATTACAACAGAATAATTACCAGATCCCATGGAGTGTGTAATAATGGAAGAGTAACTCCTGGGGCCCCCGAGAAAGCTATAAAGATTCTTCATATATATTCACTCTTACCCATTTATAAAAGGTTGCATGCATGTTTGTGTAAAGACAGAAGAAGAGGGAACCAATAGGAAAGGTAAGAGCAGGAAAACAGTCCCGCTTCCCAGAAACTGACCAAAAGGCCTGAAGATCTATGAAATGAAGGAGAAAAATCCCTGGATGAGACCTCAAGAGAAGGGGTCCGAGCGGCAGGGGAAGGTCTTGCATACGATAAGCCAGCAAGATGTATTTCACATCTGCTTTACCTTTGCCTTCCCACTGTTTCCCTTCAGGATCTGTTCTTTTAGAGACCCTTTTTTAGATCACAGATCTTTGAGATACTCTAATGAACCCTATAAATCCTATTCCCCCAAACTGCACACATATACACCAAAGCTTTCAAGGCACCTTTGTCCTCTCGGGGCTCCCCTCAGGGGTTAGGATGCCTTAAGTAAGAATCACTACTTTAGAGTCATCATCCGCTCACATTCCAGCACCAACTAAGAAGAAACTCCCTCATTAAGCACAATACAGTCTCCATGATCCGGGAAGGAAAGGACAGGTATGTTCTGTCTTGTTTTGTGTTTGTCTCAGTTATTGAGAAAAGCGATGAAATACACAGGGAAGGGATTCCCCTAGATGAGGCCAAGTGAAGGCTGCATGACCTCTGGGAGGGATGATGTAAAGATCTGAGTCCTGAATCATGGTCAAATGAGGTGACCTAAAGGGTCCCTTGTAACCCAAGAGACTGATTTTGGTATGCTCTACACAATGGCAGAAACTCACCTTGGGGGAGAGTCCATATCCAAGAAGAGACTACTCAAAGTCCAAAGACACCAACCCCCAGGAGAGGACCAAACTTGTAATACAACTGCTTTCAGCCATGCCATGCGGCACTTGTGACTGGGGCCTACAGCCCAAGGGGCCCAGACAGTGGCAGATACAGAGAGGGAGGCTGTGGTGAGGGAAAGACAATACTGGGAATTACAGGTATGCACGTGGAGACAGTGAGGCCACCCATCATTCCTGCTTGGCTCCAGATATACTGTGTTCACATCCTCAAAATGTTCAGCCTATCACCCTCCTATGTTCTCAGAGTCTCAAATCTTGACACCTGGAGGGCATGTGTAGGTGGGAATTTCTAACTGCTCTCCTTTATCATCCAGGATTTGGAAAGAAAAATTTCACTGAAGCCTCATGAATGAATACTGGACACACTGGGTTGGGGCTGACCTGGTGGTGGAGAGGAGTGGTCAGTCTCCAGAGGAGCAGGGACACCAACAGAGGGCGGGGGAAATGTGACTGACCACTTGGTACTCAAGATCTGAGGCAAGTAAGCAGGAGGCAGCCTAGGAACAGGAGTACAGAGAATCACAAGAGCACAGGAGACAGGAGGAAAGCACAACCAGAGCAGGAACCACAAATGGTTACAAGTGATGGGCTAGACACAGGTTCCCCAAATCCCAGCATTTGCCTTCTGCCGTCCCAGATTTTGCCATCTGCAGGTAGCCTTTGTGCAAGAACTTCATAGTTCTTGTAAATGGACTCTTCCTTAAAAACTTACCCTCATCCAAAGGAATAAAGTGCTAGTTCTGCTTTTTTCTAATATACATTAGAATAAGGCGTTAGTACCAATATGTGTTTTCCACACTCCACCTAAAATCACCTGGCACCACACAGAGGCCCAGGTGCCACACTTAAGACACATGCTGGTAGCCAGGTGTCCTGAGCCTGAATTTTGGTCCCAACTTCGGCCTCCTCTCTCAGCATGACCTCTGTGGGAACCCCCACCTCCCCCATCTCCCAGTAAAGGAAGACTAGATGAGTCCTACAGCTGCCCTGCAGAGCTCTGACAGTCGACACTGGCAGATTTCTATGTGGCTCTGACAAAGGTACCCACCAAGATGACATGTTAGCAGGGTCTTAGAATTTCCCAGTTTCTGCTCTTTTGGGGGTGGCTACAGATGGGAAGAGGGGGAAAGCGTCTGGAAGCAAAGGCAGGAGATATAGGAAGGCAAGTCTAGTGTAGAAGGAAAAACATCAGATTTAAACCCAAACATATGGCATCTCCATTAACTAGCCACGTTTAAGTTTTCATTTATAAAATGAGGATCACCATGCCCTTTTTTCCTTAAATTTATACCAATGCTCCTAAGCTTTCATTCAACCTGAACTTTCAAAAATAATACACTGCCAATCCTAAATGACTCTTTAAAGTCCCATTCTGACTTGCACACAAAAGCTAGACGACATCTGGACCTTTCTCACTAGTTACCAGCTCAGTTTGGGCAACTTCGCTAGCGGAGCCATATTTGTTAAATGAAGAAATATATTGAGTTACCTGCCTTTTTTAGGGATAAACTTTCTTTAATTGATGCAAAGGACAAAGGTGGACAGAAGTACCCAAAGTGGCAGTTCATAAAGCCTGATCTGGTGCCCATTGGGCTTAACGTTGGTTAAATGTGTGCTTGAAATAAGGGAAAAGAACAAAAGTGAAAAATGGTGGAAATGTATGAGCCAAGATTGTGTCTGAAAGGCAAACGATAGTTAGGGAGTTTATACTCTTCTTTAGTTTTTAAAGCACAGAATCCCTCCCTAAAATGCATACATCTAGAGTCATATTTACCACACTTAATCTCTATATATTTTCAAGAATACATATATTCAAAATGCTGTCTCATCTCACAAAAGATTTGAGGGAGCCTACGGAAAAATACAAACAGATAAAGCTGGACAAGAGCAAATATAAATCAGAAGGCCAAAAACATAAAATCTATGCATTTTATTGTCTATAAATGACATCTAAAACACACCTCAATTTAAAAAAGCAGAAACAGAACAAAGAACCAAACAAAAAAGCCAGGGGCAAAGGAGAACAAACAGTGCAGCCGGCAGGTCCTGCAGTTACAGAGTTAACCTGAGTTTCCTGCCAGCCAAAGCTACAAGGGAAACATGATCGCCTCCTGATTCCTGTTGCAGAGGCATTAGATCTGAAACTAATTTCTCCGAGGTACCTTAAGTGAGGGACGGTATCCTTGAGGACAGGTCTGTAGTAAAGTATATTAACGTGTTTCCTCAGACCATTCCTGCCTGTATATATCAATGTTAGCCCGACTGAACATTTCTGCAGCCGGAGTCGGGTGAGCAGGCGACATTAAGTCCAATGAGCAGCTTAGAGGCTCAAATGAGATGAGGACCAAGAGCTCAGGAAGCTGTGAACCCTTAGGCAAGGGGTACGGAACTGACTGCCCAGTGTGACTAAGCCAGTGAAACTCACAAGTGGCTCTAGTGCCTGCCCTATCCCAATGCAATTCACAAACAAATAGCTTCGTTACAGGGGTGCTCTGCAAAATAACAACCAAGAGCCCTCCTAGGCACATCCATTGAGCTCCATGTAGCAGAGGCCGCTGACTGGGCCCCCACATTCTCCTTTAAAAGACACAGAAGCCCCTGAGTTTTAACTGGACCCATGGCCACCGAAGCAAGAGGCTCTATGTCCCAGCGTCCCTTTCAGCAAAGTGTGACCACACTGATTTGAGTGACTCCAAGTCATATCCTTTAAAAAGAAACTGCTTTGTTCTCTCTTTCCCTGGTGTATTGTAGACACGGAGCTGATGAGTCTGCTTTGACCCTGTGGGCAAGGTCAACACCTCAGGGTTGGCTGAACAAGACAGAAGGAAACCGAGGTCCTGGTGACCTTGTACAGTTAAATCTACCCCAGACCATCTGAAAATATCTGTACTATTACAAGAGAGAAGAATAAACTTCTACTAGGAGCCACTGTACTTTAGGTTCTCTTTGTTACAGCAGCTTAGCCTGTGGCTTAACCTCATTCACAACAGAATGGAAAGATGCCAGAGGGAGACTCCAAAGGACTCTGGCAACATCCTAGAAAAGTCAATGCACAGTTCACTTCAGCAAACCGGTCAGGAAATGAGAGCCATCACACCAAGTTATGCCTCCTACTCCTTCTCCAGGAGAAGCCCACCTGCATCCCTGGAGCAGAGGAAGAGGCCTTTATTACAGCCCAGCCCAGCCCATCCACCGTGGACCTAAGCCAAATCCTCAGTACAGACTGGAGATACAGACTGCTTTCCCACCAACACTAGGCAGGCCTGTCCTACCTTTTCCCCTAAAGCAGGAAAGCTCCACACTTCTCCACTCTTCATAATTACCATTCTTGAGAACAGGCCAAGTCCAGTAAGGCGTAGGGTGAAGCAGCTGCTGGGGGGCTGTGTGTGAGGGTCAGGGGAGGGGAGTCCAGATCCCCAGAACAAAAGTCACAGCTGGGAAGAGGGAGAGAAGCCTCCACGTCTGCCCTGGGTTTCTGGGGTCCAGGGGCCTCAGGGTGCAGCCCCTGCTCCTCCTGCGCAGTCCCCCTGGTGACAGAGCTCAGCCAGGCAGTTGCCAGTCACTAACGAATCCCAGCTACCGGCACCTGCTGCTGCTTGCGGATCTTATTGAAGAGTTCCATGTACTGGATCATGGTATCTGCTGGGCCATAGACGGCATCGTGTCTGTTCCCAAACACTGCGGGAGCCCCTGGTGTGTGGCTGCCTAGAAAACTCTGTAGGAACTCGAGCAGCAGGCTCCAGCAGTCGCTAGCTACCACACAGGGGCCATACTCCACCTGGGAACCAAAAGAACAGAGAACAAGGGTGAGTGAGGGCAAGGACAAGGTCTTCTGCTTCTCTTGCACCTCTTGCCCCCTGCTCCCATCTTCTCCAACCCCAAGCCAAAGACACACACCTTCTAACACAATGTTGCTCCACAGGAAAATACTCAAGCCAAACACTAGGGATTCCACATACCCAGCATCATTCCCTTTAGGCATCTCTCACATTCTCATCTTGGGACTTATCAACCTACAGCCCCAACCCACAAGACCCAGAGACAGACACAGGCCCCCTTTGATGATCTCAGGACGGTATAGTCCCTGCTATGCTGCTTGAAGATCCAAGGAGAGCTCAGGAAAATTCTGAGAGAAAATGAACAACAGAAGTTAAGAGTGTGTGTGTGTATGTGTGTGTGTGTGTGTGTGTGTGTGTCCCCATCCATAGGGGGCAAAGTAGACACATATGCTCTTAAGTCTCTTTAAGACCAAACATTACCCCCACAAAAGACCCCAACTGACCCTAAGAAGTAATTTCCCAACCAATGTGGCAGGGGTCAAAGGAGATACATCTTAAGACTTTCTCATTCCTTTCTCCTGGTTTTTCACTGGAAAGATGGCAGGAAAAATAATTAGTAAGCATAAGGAGAAACACATAAAGAAGGAGCTGGGATGTTATTTGTACTACAAAGCTGGAAACATTTAGGATAAGCAGACAGTGGGTTCCCAGTGGGTCTCAGCCAATGCAAGGTGTATCACAAGCCAAAAGGGGTCAGGAAATCTTGGTCCCAAAGGTCCCAGAAGTTTCAGAGAAGTAATTTACCACTAAGGCCCTTTTCTCTACCTGGAATGCTTAGTGGGGCTTATCTATCCCCACAGCTCTACATTTTTTTTTTAAGATTTTATTTATTTATTTGACAGAGAGAGACACAGCGAGAGAGGGAACACAAGCAGGGGGAGTGGGAGAGGGAGAAGCAGGCCTCCTGCGGAGCAGGGAGCCCAATGCAGGGCTCGATCCCAGGACCTTGGGATCATGACCTGAGCTGAAGGCAGAGGCTTAACAACTGAGCCACCCAGATGGCCCACATCTCTACATTTTAAGTCCCTCTTTACATGCTACTCCGGAAGAAAGCATCCCCATCCTCAAAGTCACCAGTGCTCTCACTGGCCTGAATCCCCAGAGCAATGTGCCTCGGAATGTCTTACAGACTAACTTCAAAAACAGTTTGTGTGTTTCAGCTTCACTCGCTTACTAAATCGTACATGTTCAAAAGGCAGGCCCTGTAGGTCACCTATTTTTTTTTTTTTTTAAATCTTACACAGTGCTGGGCACATGGTAGACTGAGGAATTTCACTGGTCCCAAAGCCAACTACTGTCACATTCCCTCTTTGTGGTTTCCAATACATACCTCAGAGATGAAGTCACCACACACACCTCTTTCCACCACGAAAGAAGCTGACAGCATGTCAAAAGGAAAGGCTCATCTTGCTGTACAACCTCTGAGACCTATCTTAAGGTGTACTAGGGAAAGGGATGTAGGCACACGATTTAGGGCCCACCTCTCAAAAGTTACCTGCACAAAAAGTTGCCCTGGTCTGCTCCAGTCCTTGGGATGGGTGACCAGTCCCTCCACATCACAATTCACCTTCCTCCCTTGACTATCCCTTCCCTTCTCCAGCAAGTCAGCCCTCTTAAGCTTTCTACCTGTTGTGACCCAGCTTCCCATTCCCACCCTGGGCCAGAACCTGAATGATTAAAGAAAGGGTAAAAGATGCAGGGACACTGTGGAAAGAGCCAAGATGTCCATCGACAGATGAATGGATAAAGAAGATGTGGTATATATACACAATGGAATATTATGCAGCCATCCAAAGGAATGAGATCTTGCCATTTGCAATGACGTGGATGGAACTGGAGGGTGTTATGCTGAGTGAAATAAGTCAGTCAGAGAAAGACATGTATCATATGACCTCACTGATATGAGGAATTCTTAATCTCAGGAAACAAACTGAGGGTTGCTGGAGTGGTGGGGGGTGGGAGGGATTGGGTGGCTGGGTGATAGACACTGGGGAGGGTATGTGCTATGGTGAGCACTGTGAATTGTACAAGATTGATGAATCACGGATCTGTACTTCTGAAACAAATAATGCAATATATGTTAAGAAAAAAAAAGAAGAAGAAGAAGAGGATAGCAGGAGGGGAAGAATGGAGGGGAGTAAGTCGGAGGGGGAGACGAACCATGAGAGACGATGGACTCTGAAAAACAAACTGAGGGTTCTAGAGGGGAGGGGGGTGGGGGGATGGGTTGGCCTGGTGATGGGTATTAAAGAGGGCACATTCTGCGTGGAGCACTGGGTGTTATGCACAAACAATGAATCATGGAACACTGCATCAAAAACTAATGATATAATGTATGGTGGTTAACATAACAATAAAAAAAATATTTTAAAAAAAAAAAAGATGCAGGGACAGGGGAGCACACATGCCCTGGAGACAGGGATGAGGAAGCCATAAACACCTGTTTGCATTCAGAGGGGTGAGAAAATCTGCAGAGCCCTCTGCTGAGCAGCCCTTCAGCACATACTGCTCCTGTTTCCCCAAGGTCTTACCTCTACGGAGATGCCTCGGGCACTGGGCCCCATGGTGACTGTGCCCACCTTCACTAGGAAGTCACAGTACTGGTAACGGGTACCCCGGGTCTCAATCTTGCTGGCCTTGGCACTCTGGAAAAAGCCCTTGAGCTTCACCATAAGCACATCGAAGTTGGTGTCGGCAATAAGCCAAGGGCCATTCTCAAAGAGGGCGAAGCAGCTCAGAGGGTACTCTGAGTTGTGCATCACATACATCAGCTTCCCAGCCTGACCTGCAGGGACAGAGATTCTATCAGCATCAAGATCTTCCTCTGCAAACCCCGGAATAGAGTCAAATGCGGGGAACAGGGCCAGATGGCAATCTGCCATTGCCTCAGCCATCTTGGAGGGCGATGTGGGAGGAATCCCCTCACCAACAGTCTTTTCCAAAGGGGAAGGGAGAAGAACAGCAGGCAAGGCAGCGTGTGGTAAAACCCTGCTCTACAGAAAACGTGAGGAGCACAAGGGAACTTCAATAGCACTGGTAACAGTTTAGTTCTTAAGTTGAGTGACGGGCTCATAGATGGCTGCTTGATGACAAATCAAGAAGATCTTTAGAAAAAAAGATTTTATTTATTTATTAGAGAGAGAGAGAGCGTGCGTGCACACGAGCGGGGGGGAACAGTAGAGGGAAAAGAAGACTCCTTGATGAGCAGGGAGCCAGATGTGGGACTCGATCCCAGCACCCTGGGATCATGACCAGAGCCAAAGGCAGACGCTTAACCAAGTGAGCCACCCAAGCACCCGAACCCTTGGAGTACTTTAATGTATCAGCTGACTTGGGAAGCAATCAGCACATTCACAGAAAGGACTCAAGATCTGGAATCAAAAGGTCTAGTTTCAAGCCCCAGTCTACCCCTTCTGGTCTCTGAGAAATGAGTTTTCTTGTTGATTACTACTAGAGATTTTTTTTTTAAGATTTTATTTATTTATTTGAGAAAGAGAGAAACAGAGAGAGAGGGAACACAAGCAGGGGGACTGGGAAAGGGAGAAGCAGGCTCCCCGCCGAGCAGGGAGCCCAATGCAGGGCTCGATCCCAGGACCCCGGGATCATGACCTGAGCCGAAGGCAGACGTTTAACAACTGAGTCACCCAGGCGCCCCACTACTAGAGATTTTCTGCAAGAAGAAAGGAAAGCTACATATATTTGGTCAACTGAAAATGGAAAGCAAGATCGCCCTCTTATACACTACAAGAATTAAGGGATAGACTACCACAATCCCAAGTACTTATTAAGACTTAACTATAAAATATTTATTAAGGACTTAACTATCCCCAACATTGTGCTAGAGTTTAAGAGGCGTGCAAGTAGAGGACTTAGCACCTGGCCTCAGGAAGCTGATGCTCTCATTAAAGACAGGTGAGAGATCCCGCGTCAGGCTTCCTGCTCAGGTGGGAGTCTGCTTCTCTCTCTTTCTCTCTCTCCTCCTCTGCCCCTCCCTACTGCTCTTTCTCTCTCTCTCTCAAATAAATAAATAAAACTCTTTAAGAAAAAAAAATAAAGACAAGTGAAAAACTTTTAAAGAGACAGTAAGACCAAAGCGCTTACATGGGATAGACCAGAAATCTTCTTGGAAGGAAAAAAGACCAGAGCAGAAAGAGACCAAAGTATGCAAGAGTCAGCAGGAAAAACTTCTATGGAGAAAACAGGACCTGAACTCTGATACGAAGAGAGGGTAGGGTTCAGCCACACAGAGAAGTAAAGATATTCTAGGCAAGAATGAGAGTTTAACAGGGGCGCCTGGGTGGCTCAGTCGTTAAGTGTCTGCTTTCAGCTCAGGTCACGGTCCCGATGTCCTGGGATCGAGCCCCGCATCGGGCTCCCTGCTTCTCCCTCTCCCACTCCCCCTGCTTGTGTTCCCTCTCTCGCTGTGTGTCTCTCTCTGTCAAATAAATAAAATCTTTAAAAAAAAAAAAAGAATGAGAATTTAACAGTGGAAAAGAGGAGATAGGGCGGAGAGACCTCTACACAGGCCTCCACTCTGCTGCTGCTTCCAGAACTCAACAGGCTCTGCACCAACCTTTCCTCACATCCCTCCTGACCGCTTGCTGCCAATGGGTACCTTTCACCTCCTGCTAAACCCAGCGCAAAATACTTCAACCTTCCAAAAAAAAAAAAAAAGACATCCAAAGCTGATCTGTCATTCTGTTCTTGTGCAAACTCACTGTAATTATTTAATTCATACTATAGGAGTCTGTAGGTGTTCTTACTGTCTTGAAAATACTTTGAAAGTCAACTAAGGTTTTTTTTTAAGAAGGCACGGCCAATTGTTTACAGGCAATAGTATTTTTAAAATCAAAATAAAGTATCTTTGGGGACGCCTGGGTGGCTCAGTTGGCTAAGCGTCTGCTTTTGGCTCAGGTCATGATCTCGAGGTCCCGGGATTGAGCCCTGCATTGAGCTCCCTGCTTAGCAGGGAGTCTGCTTCTCCCTTTTTCTCTCCCCCAGCTTGTGCTTTCTCTCGCAAATAAATAAATAAAATCTTAAAAAAAAAAAAGTATCTCTGTATTGGCACAAACTTGTGAAGCAAGCAGAACCAGTGTTACTGTCCCCCTTTTACAGACAAGGAAAATGAAGCCTATAGGGTTCGGGAGCAGCAGCACCACCACCTGGGCACTTGCTGGAAATGCAGATTCTCTGCCCCAGCCCACACTTCCTGAGAGGAAATGTCTGGGAGGGGCCCAGCAATCTGTGTTAATGAGCTCTCTGGATGATGTTAAAGCTGGTCCGTGTGAGAACTTGTGATCTAAAGGCACAGAGCCAGTAAGGAGCAGAACTGGAACTCCAATCTGCGCCTTCTGATCTCAAGTTTATTGCTCCTTCCATTCCAACCCCTGTCCGCTGCGAATGTGTCCTCTCCCCAACTCGACTGTAGCTCCTTAAAAAGTAAAGGTCAGATCAGGAAAACAGAGCCTACAACATGTAGTTTCATAGATACGGTACGCCATCTTATACCTGTGCACAAATGTTTTGTCTTCCAAATGCTTTCATAACTGTTCTCTCTTTTGATTCCTACTGAAGGCACAAGTAATGGTAACACTGTGATTTTACTGATGGTGAAACTCGGTAGAGCTCTTATTTATTACTACACAACCACCTCAGTTCTAAGTGCTTTGCACATAGTAACTTATTTAATGAGCACAACACTAGGGGATCAGTACTATGATATTTTCATTTTGCAAATGACAGAACTGTCCTAGGAAGGTATAGAAACAGACCCCGTAGCAAATAGTTTCATTAGAAGGGATTTAATACAGGGAACAAAATACCAAGGTTGGAAAAACCGACAAACCAAACAAATGGTGAGGCCGCTCAAATATTAGCAGCACAGGGAGCTACTACCAACCCAAAGGCTGGAAGGAAAAAGAGAGGATGTGCTGTCATTAGAGCGAGGCATGAGGGGCACCCAGCAGGAGCTAAAACCAAGGAAGAGACCACAGTCACAGCCAGAGACACCACCCAAAGCAGGAGAGGAGGAGATCCTGTGCTCTCCCTTGCTTCGGGCCTCTAAACTTCCCCACTGCCCCTCACTGGCCAAAGGTGACTAAAAGGGGGCCTGGCAAATGTTGTCTGCAGGGGAGGTATGGGGAATGGATCTACGGGGAAATAGGCAAATGACTGGCACAGAAACGGGTCATAGGTTGTGGACTTCCCTAAGTGACAGTATGTGACCAGGACTTAGTTCTCTGGTTCCATGATCTAGCCTCTTCATCACTGTGCTTTGGAACTGTCCTAGGTCAAATTACTACAGAGCCAAGACTAAGAGAACCCAGGTTCTCTAACTCATATTCAAAGGTTCTCTAAACATGGGAAACAACAGATGTTGGCGAGGATGCGGAGAAAGGGGAACCCTCTCACACTGTTGGTGGGAATGCAAGCTGGTGCAGCCACTCTGGAAAACAGAATGGAGGTTTCTCAAGAATTTAAGAAAAGAAACTACCCTACGACCCAGCAATTGCACTACTAGGTATTTATCGAAAGGATACAAAAATACAGATTCGAAGGGGTACATGCATCCTGATGTTTACAGCAGCGTTATCAACAACAGCCAAATTATGGAAAGAGCCCAAATGTCCACTGGCTGATGCATGGACAAAGAAAATGTGGGAGAAATATATATATGTGTGTACCTATTATCTATATATCTAATGTGTCTATATACACATATATAATTTATACATCTAACACACCTATATATTATGTAGATATATAGTGGAATATTACTCAGCCATCAAAAAGAAAAATCTTGTCATTTGCAAAGACGTGGATAGAACTAGAGTATATTATGCTAAGTGAAGTAAGTCAGTCAGAGAAAGACAAATACCATGATTTCACTCATATGCAGAATTTAAGAAACAAAACAGTTGAACATATGGGAGGGGGAGAAAAGAGAGAGAGGGAAGCAAACCATAAAAGACCCTGAACAACAGAGAACAAACTGAGGGTTGATGAAGGGACGTGGGTGGGGGGCTAAATGGGTGGTGAGCACCCAGTGTTATATGTAAATGACGAATCACTGAATTCTACTCCTGAAACCAGTATTACGCTATATGTTAACTAACTAGAATTTAAATAAAAACTTAAAGAAAAAAAAAAGATTCTCTTTGCCTCCCTACCATCATCATCCATAGCCCATCTCAATATATTTGAAACAAAAGTTGATTCAATGGTCAAGGTCATGCAATGAGGTATCCAAGGCCACTGGCTAGGTGTAGGAATCTGAAAGCCTTTCTGCACAAAGTTCTAAAAACTTTAAAGCTGTGAAAGAATCATGGACTTCTGGGCCTAAAAGGAGTCTCTCTCAAACTTAAGAGTGCATAAAGATCATTAAGGGAGCTAGCTGAAGTATAATTATGGGGCTTGCAGCACCAGTCAAGTGGTAAGGAGAGCTGAGACTTTGCACCTTTATTTTTTTAAGATTTTATTTATTTATTTGAGAGAGAGAGAATAGAGAGCGAGAACGGGGGAAGGGGCAAAGGGAAAGGGAGAAAGAATCCTAAGCAGGTGCTGTGCTGAGCGTGGAGCCCAATGAGGGACTTGATCCCAGGACCCTGAGATCATGACCTGAGCCGAAATCAAGAGTCGGATGCTTAATCAACTGATGCACACCGGCGCCCCAGGACTCTGCACCTTTAACAAGTAACCCAGATGCTTAGATGCATTTAGCCAGTGACCAATCCCCTGAGAAACACAGCTTTAAAGTACAAAGTGCAGAAAGACTAAAGCATCGGCCCAATCTAAGAGATGAAGGACCGAGATTTAATGAATTCAGAAACATCTGCCACATGTTCAAGAATACCATCCTTAGCAAAAGAGCATAAAGATTTCAATGAACATGAATGTCAATCAACTCCAAGTGAGGTTCCGGCCATCCTGCAGACCCATCTCACTGACCTTGGCTGCCAAGAGTGGAGGCAGCTGTGTGGTAGGTCTCACAATCCACGCAAAATGTTCCTTGCTTCTCTGCCCCAAGCATCTCCAACTTCCGGGTGAGGAGCTCCACCGTCTGCTGGACACTCTTGCCCTCAGCCACAGGCATCTGGGACACACTGGAAGGAAGAGGACCAAATCATCAGTATCCGTAGACACATGTACACTCACTGAGGCACTCATTTACCCACAGAATCACAGCTCTTCGGGGCCAGGAGTTACCTTAGAGACCACCTACCCTGACCCTCTCTCTCATTTTAAAGATGAGGAAATAGAGGCTCACAGTTCCTGAGAGCTCCACTAAGAACTAGAACACAGATCTCAGGACACTCACATCAGTGTAGTGAACTTCCTATCTATCACATCAGTGTTTCCCAAGCAGGACATGTGTGCCAATGTTCAAGAAAAGGTTTTAAGTGTACAGAGGCTGAACAATTCATAACATTGAGTCATGTGAGAAAGGGATGTCCTTTGCGATCCCTTCAGTTCTGACTCTATCAGGAAAATCTCAATTTGGGGTTAGTATGTTTTTACCATTTCTTGAACACTTTCAATGTGCGCTGTCCAGTACAGCAGCCACAAGCCACATGTGGCTATTTACACTTAAACTAATAAAACAAGTTAAATTAAAAACTCAACTCCTCAGCTGCACCACCCACATTTCAAAGGCTCAACAGCCACTTGTGACTGAAGGCTAGTGTATTAGACAATGGTGTTATAGAACATTTCGTCAATGCGGATAATTGTATTCAACAGCCCTAGGAGCAAAGAGAAAGCAAGGCTCAAGTTTATAATCTTTAGGAACTAGAGGCAACAGTATGTACAAGAATAAAATCAAAACAATGCAATAAAAGATTTCCTTCTATGGTAAGTGAAACTGGCTTCCCCTTCAGAGTAGTGGATAACAATCATTAGGCATCAACCATGTGCCAGGCAGTGTCCAAAGGCCTTTAGACAAATGAACTCTTTGAATCCTCACAACAGCCCTATGAGATGAGCTATTATTTATCTCCTTGCTACAAATGAAGAAACTTAAGTACAGAGGGGTTGAGTAACTTGCATAAGGTCACAGAGCTTGGTGTGGTGTAGTCAAGATTCAAAGCCAGGCAGGCTGCTCCATGTCTGTGTTCTTATCCACTATACTAGATTTCCTCCCTAGAGATGTAGCTGCCTGTTAAAATGTTTTTAGGGAAAATAAATAGATTCAAAAGAAAACATTAATAACTACTACAGATGGTACCTAGCTATATAAAAACCATGTTACTGAATTTTGGAAGACACTGCATTACTTTAAGATCAACTACATGAAGGTATAAAAATGGGAGTCCTGCTGTTGCTAAAAATTGTCACTACTCTCCATCAGAAAACACACTCATGAGCAATGAGATGATGGGCCTTGAGAAAAATAAGAGAATCCCTAAACTGATATTACAGGGGTCAGAAGCCCCAGGAGTGTGAAAAACTTGATAAGGGTCCCAAACAGACTGACAGCCCATTCCCTCTCTCTGTCTTCTACTGAAAGAACAGGGGCTTCCAGGGTTCCAAGGCTCTATGCTACAAACTTTTCATTCCATCCCTCACACATCCCCCTTACACTAGAAGACTTAGGAAAGGCTCATGATATCCACTGTAGAAAACAAAGGTGCAGTAACGGACAAGCCTACACGAACCTGAGCTACCAGAAAGAGTAGTTCCCACAGGCTCCAGCCACTGACTTCAGGATATCCTAGCCTCCAGCCCTCTCTGACTGGAAACATGCTAATATTTACCAATATTCAAAACAAAGCAAAAAAAAAAAGAAGATGTGAAATCTAGCATTTTGGAACTCATGCCCCCAAGAGCATTAGGCCATACCTTTCTCTGCCACCCTACTTATATTATGTTAGAGATTAAAAGTCCATAGAAACCAGACCAACCATATAATTAAACATAGTAGGAAACGGATCCTGAAGAGGTGATGTGCCTGAACCCCAATCTAACTCCCAACAGCTTCTTTTTTCCCCCCCCTCTAGACTTAAGATCTTAAGACGGCCACACCAGAACCAGACACGGGCTGGTTTAACTGCATTAGGTGGCTGTAGGGAGAGGCAGGAGAAAAACCTAAAAAAAGGTGGTTTCCTCGTTGCCTATCCTGCACCCCCTCTAGCCCCGCCTGCAGATTGGGTCCTACTCCGGGCATCCTATTTCCAACCCTTAAGTTCCACACCCCGGGCAGCCCGATGGCCTCCTGGGAAGAAAAAGGAAGGAGGTACACAACCACCGATGGGCTCCTGGGACAAAACCTTTCACCTGCCGCCTTCCAGGACTGGGAGCATCTTCGAGCAAACAAGCCCAGAGAATCTGCAGCCCTCACAGTGTCTCCCTCACCCACACATCCTGCTCAGCTCGTGGGGGGCGGCGGACCCTGGTCCCGAGCCTCCTCCCGGGTATACTCCAGGCTCGGAGGGTCCTTCCCGACCCCAAGCGCAGCCCCACAAAGTCCCTTGCGGTCCTACCAAGTCACTCCCATGGTATCGGGCCAGGAGGGTGGCAGGAACAAACAGTTGAATCACAGTGTTCTGCGGCCGCCCACACTAAATGAATGCCCCCTAACGCAAGCTTCTGCCGAGGGAGGTGTTGCGGAAATGACGTAAAAACAGAGCGTCCAGTCGACGCGCCCACGAGGAACAGGGGCGGGTCTAGGCACCTCATCGGTGACGATTCCAGTGACGTCACTGCCCTGCTCCGCCGCCCTGCCCCCAGCCTTGCTTCTGGGGAAGTTCACGTTTGGCCACATAGGTCCTCGATCCGTGAAAGTAGAAAATCATCGCTCGGACTGCCACCACGTATAGGAACCAACGTTAAATGCAATGAGTTTATTCGGGAGTCTAGCTCCAGGACCCGTGAGCTCTTTTAGGGGGTGTGACGGCGCTGATGGCACTGCTGGCCTCCGAACGCTAGGAGACGCTGTAATCTACGTGGGGGCTTCTTGGGAACTGGGAGCTCACTGCGCAAGCGCACTGAAGGCTTTTTTTTTTTTTTTCCTTCTTTTCCTCCGTTGGCACGTGTGAGGCTTTCCAGCAAAGTTTTGGAGGAAAATGCCCAAATTCAAGGCGGCTCGCGGAGCTGCGGGTCAGGAAAAACATGCGCCCCTGGCTGAACAGATCCTGGCTGGGGACGCGGTGCGGGCAGAAGCCCGGGAAAAGCGGCGGGGTCGTGGGACCAGAGAAGAGGAAGAGTATGTGGGGCCCCGGCTGACTCGACGGATTTTGCAGCAAGCACGGCAGCAGCAGGAGGACCTCGAGGCGGAGCATGGGACTGGGGACAAGCCCGCAGCGCCACGCGAGCGCACCACGCGGCTGGGTGAGTGGTGGGGGGTGAGCGCCGGGAAGAAGGTGGTTAGTTTCTGGGGGTGGGGGGAAGTAGACGGCCAAAAGGTATCTGGCAGGGGAATCGTTTGAAATCAAGAAAATCAAATAAAATAAATAAGGGGTCCGCATTACACCCTTGCAAAGGTAATGAAATGGGAGACCCAGCTCTGGAGCAGATTTAGGGTGGTCAGAGTCCTCTACTCCCACTTGTAGTTTTAGATACTCGCTTCTAGGCACCCCCGCAGTTAGACCAACAGGGAGTAGTTGCTCACGCCACTGAGCACTCCTAACATTTATCCATTTGTTCTATACATTCTTAGGAGTTGTCTAGTCCGTGCTTTGCACTGTGCTAGGAGTTTAGATGGTTTGGGTAAAGAAGGAAACAAGATAGCCAAGTGCCTGACTTCAGGATCTTACAGTCTAGCCCAAGAGAGAGACAGTTAAATTGATGATTAGAATAATACATTCCAGAATAAAGAAAGTATAGTTTCTCATAACAGTAGCATCACTTTTGGGGGTCAGGCTTCCTAGATTGCATAACCTTTGTGCTGAGACCTGAAAAACGAGTGGAGAGTGCTCTGAGCAGAAAGAATGATCTTGTTTAGGTGTTCAGGAGGGAGAGAGACTAATTAAAAGTTGGTCAGTATTATTAGGGTGGACGTGTTGACCTCCAAATCGCTTAATCTGTCTCTCAGATCTCTTTCATTTGTCTTGAGAGCGGTATTGGACACAATTGAACACTGGCTTCCTGGCTTCAGTATCTTTTGCTGGCTCCTCTTTTGTCCCCAGCCTCTTATCATTGATGGGCCACAAGGTTCAGTTCTTGGATCTCTTCTCTTCATGTCACTTTTCTGGTGCTGTCATCAGTTTCATGGTTTAAGTGCCATCTACTTAGTGATTGCTCCTAACTTTGTATTCTTGCCCAGATCTCTTCCATGAAAATCAGATTCTTCTATTTCAGCTGCCTGTTTGACATCTCCCATTTGAAGTCTAATAGACATCTCAAATTTAATGTGTCCAAAACAGAAATGCTGATATTCTTGCCAAACCTGCTCCTCCCACTGTCCTCCTCATCTCAGTTAATAGGATGATATCCTTCCATTTGCTCAAGACAGAAACCTTGGACTCCTCTCTTTCTTACTTCACATCTAATTTGTTAGGAAATCCTGTTGACTCTACCTTCAAAATAGATTCAGAGTCAGACCACTTCTCATCACCTTGGAACACAGTCCTGTTTGAACCACCATAATCTCTCACCTGGATTATTGTTGTAGCTTCCTGATTAGTATCCTATCCCCCTTAGATCTACTCGCAACAGCTGGAGGACTTCAAAGACCTACATGGTCTGCCCCTTTGCCAATCTGACCTCTTCTACTACTTTCCCCGTGTCCTCTTCGTCCATACAGGCTTTATTGTTCCTTAAACATAGTAAGTTAGGGCTTTTGCCCTTGTTATTCCTTTTGTCTTCATTCCTTTGTAGGTTTATTCCCTGATTCTTCATCTTCTCGGAGAGGCCTGTCCTGGCCACTCCATTAAAAATGGAAATACCTGGGGGCGCCTGGGTGGTTCAGTCAGTTAAGCATCTGACTTCTGCTCAGGTCATGATCTCAGGGTCCTGGGATCTGGCTCAGCATTTGGTGGACAGTAGTACCATTTACTTAAGACATGGAACACAGCGAGTAGCAGAGACCTAAAAGGAAAAGAGTTCAGTTGATAGGTGAGGGTTGAATTGCCTGTGGCTCATCCAAGAGCTGCTGTACAGGAGAGGGCTGGAGTGAATGTCTGGAGTAAAGGGAAATCTACCTACAAGCACAGATTTGGGATTTGTTAGCACATGAAGACAAAAGTCTGGCGCATCCCCCTCCCCCATTTAGCTTTTATCACACACTGCCTCTGTCTTTTTTTTTTTTTTTAAGATTTTATTTATTTATTTGACAGAGAGCAAGCACACACAAGTAGGGGGAGTGGCAGGCAGAGGGAAAGAGAGAAGCAGACTTCCCGCTGAGCAGGGAGCCTTATGGGGACTCTATCCCAGGACCCCGCGATCATGACCCAAGCCGAAGGCAGACGCTTAACCGACTGAGCCACCTAGGCGCCCACACTGCCTCTGTTCTTACTGAGCTGTTCCTGTGTAACATTTTATCTTTCTGGTTGGATTATTACATCCCTTTTCAGATGCCCAGGCAGCTTGTAGCCTTCCAATAGTCCATTATAAAAATGGGTTGTGCCAGAGGCACCTGAGTGGCTCAGTCGGTTACCTGTCTGACTTTGGCTTGAGTCATGATCTCAGTGTCCTGGAATTGAGCTTCCTGCAGTGTCTGGCTCTGCATTCAGTAGGGAGTCTGCTTCTCCCTTTCCTTCTCCCTCTATCTCTGCCCCTGCCCTTGTTCATGCTCGTGTGCATGTGCACCCACTCTCTCTTAAATAAGTTCTAAAAAGGGGGAGTTGTTCCATTGAAATCTGAACTCCGTTGCCTGGCCTCAAGGCCCTCCGCAGTCTGGCTTTACTTTACCCTTCTAGCCTTATTTCTTGCTACTGCCTGTTAGATACCCTTGTAATCAACTCTTCCTGCCAGTGTTGTGACCCACGTCTGGAGCACACTCCTCCAGTTCCCATACTGCCTTTTCAGAGTCTGACTGTCCTCTGCTCTCATCACCTTTTATGTGCCTGTGGTTTACACTGCCTCTGCCACTGATTTTGGCATATAACGAAGCACTACAGTGTGTATAGAACAGAGGTGAAGAATGCGCAGTCTAAACGCAGACTACCTGCCTTAGACAAGTCACTTAAGTTTCATATGCTTCAGAGTCCCCATCTGACACTGGGTAGAATACTAGTACCTACTTCTTGGTGTTACGAAAATTAAATACAGTGTTTAGAAGAGCTCCTGCTATATAAGTGAGTGTAGCGTGTTTTAACGATTATTCACTGGCATCGCTGTCTCCTTGGCTCATATTTGTACATTTTGTTTCTCAAGCAAGATCGGGAACAGGAAGCCCCTGGGAACTGGAAGACAGTGGGGGCATCATTGCTTTCACTGCACCCATCTGTATCTGTTACAAGCCCATGCGAGGCCTGTATTGTGCTGATGGGTAAAGTTGAATTGACCTCTACATCCCTCACCCACGGCTTGCCTTTGCTCATCCATTTCCTCTCCTGTTCTAGGTCCAGGAGTCCCGCAGGATGGATCAGATGATGAGGACGAGGAGTGGCCCACCCTGGAGAAGGCTGCCACAATGACGGGGGCGGGCCATCATGCGGAGGTGGTCGTGGACCCTGAGGATGAGCGTGCCATTGAGATGTTCATGAACAAGAACCCTCCTGCCAGGTGGGGCTGGCATGGCCTGGGGTGTGGGATGTCCGATCCCTGTGGCAGCTTTCTGCAGAGAAGCATATGCCCTGGCAATTTTGATTTCATGGCTTTGGGAAGGGCCTGAGCATAGCTGGTTGTGGGGAACCAGCTTGGCAAAATTGGCCCATCCTCGGGTGGGAATGTCCCAGACCTCCTGCCCATCTGTCCACCTGTTGTAGAACTGCCCAGGGTTCCCTGGGAAAACAGCTCCAGGGCCTTTTCTCATGCCTCCAGGGCGATCCATCCCATTGGATTTGGTTTTGGCCTGCTTGGTTTTCTTAGTGCTAAGCTCGATTTCCTTGGCCAGGTCTCTTTCATACTCTCAGCGTCATTTCAGCCAGGGTTTCTCAGCCTTGGCATTTTGGGCTGGATAATTCTCTTTTTTATGGAGGCTGTCCTGTGCGGTGGGGGATGTTTAGCATCTGGATGATTTCTATTCCCTGGATACCAGTGGTGATCTTTCCCACAATTGTGATAACCAAACAATGTCTCCAGACTGCCAAATGTTCCCTGGTGGGCAGACTTGCCCCCGGGTAGAAGCACAGTGTAATGCCATGTATCCTAAATGGCAGCTCCAAAACATGTGGGCATTGAAGGTCCTACAATCAAACTCTTAAGCCTGTAGATTCTGACCCAGGGGAGGGGGAGTCTCGGATAAAAGTCCCTCAACTAGTTCATTCTGACCCTGTGATACTTACATGATAGGGTTTATAGGCTTTGGGGGGCTAATGCATCTTTCGTTGGCTGATAATACTGAGAATAAGACAGGGACGCTGACGGAGAAGTTCTGTGGTCACTTGTTTGAGAGCACAGAGTGAGGAAATGAGTCCACTGCCCACACTGATGCCCAGCAGCTGAAGTAGATGTCACAAAGTATGTTCTGGGCTGGGGTGTTTGTCCTGCCAGAGAGCCCCTTGGGTTCTCACTCAGCACCTCAGAACTCCTTGGTAACACAGCATTTTGACAGGACTAGTCGGATGATTTTCTTGCCTGCAGCTACCAAAAACAGGGGTTGCCTACAGTCTTGAGAAATGACAGCTGACAGCTTCTGAAAGCAAGCCCAGACCCATGTGAACTCAGTGGTCAGAGGCCCGTGCAGTTGGGGGCGCGTTATAGTGTACTGTCAAGTACCTGAACTTTAGAACGTGAGAGGCCAGCGTTTAACTCCCACCAAGGCTGTGAGACCTTGGGGGAGTTATTGACCTCTGTGGGTATCAGTTCCTGTGTCTGAATAAGGGCCGTAATGACACCTCTACGGGATGTCACACAGCCTGTATGAGATAACATCTGCAAAGCCCTACCTCAGTGCCTGGTGTTGAGAAAACAGGAGGTGTTTTAAATATACCTTAGCAGCTTCCGAAGACACCATTATTATACCAAAGCCCAATGTAACAGTAATTCTGAACCATCATGATAAGGTTATGTTTGATACACTCTGCGTAAGGAACCTGAGAAAAATATCATTGATCTTAGAAATCTTTCCATAAATTTTAATAAATGAAATTGGGAAAGTTTGTGTCATAGTCCCTCCTTAATGACCCCCAGCTACTTGAAATCTTAGAAGGTAACTGAGATGTGTGCAGCCCTCTAGAGAGGTCACACCAGGACTTTGTAACGGGGAGCTCTCCGCATATTGCCAGCACATCATAGGTGTGTTTGAAATAGGCAGTGCTTACTGCACACTCGCTGTGTACCAACAGTTCCAAGTAATGTACAAACGTTAATTCTTGTAATCTTCATGCTAACTTTATGAGCTAGGTACTGTTATTATCCCTGTCTCACAGATGAGGAAAACTGAGGCATAGAGAGGCCAAGGAGCATGCCCAGGGTCATACAGGCAGAGGAAAAGCTGGGATCTGAAGCCAGGCCGACTGACTTCAGAGTCCAGGTTCTTCACCTCCCTACAGCTGTGAGCTTTGTCCCAGACTGAATGACTTTCGGGTCCTCTGCACCCTGCAGGGATTCTGCAGTGGGTGGTAGGGCCCAGGGAGGCTGGGGCCACACATCCCAGTGAGATCACAGATGTACTGGAGCTCACAAGGGGCTGCGCGGGCTGCCTGAAGCCTCCTGGACTGACCACAGCCCTCTCTCCTTCCCTCCCACACCTCCCTTACTTGTAGGCGTACCCTGGCTGACATCATCATGGAGAAGCTGACTGAGAAGCAGACGGAAGTTGAGACGGTTATGTCAGAGGTGTCAGGCTTTCCCATGCCGCAGCTGGACCCCCGGGTTCTGGAGGTCTACAGGGGGGTCCGGGAGGTGAGAGCCGAGAGGAGAGCCATGATGGAATACCCTCCCAGGGGCTGTGGGCTCCCACGTAAGGCTTTCTTTCCTCACACAAATGAGGCACAGTGGCCAAGAGCAAACTTAAGAGCCCGAGTGTGTGGGCTCAGATTCCTGCTCTGCCACTCAGGCGCTTGGTGGCCTTGGGAAGGTTCCTTCACCCTGGTCTTCCTCTCCCCACCTGGAAAACGAGGGTGCTAAGAGCACATCCTTACAGGGTCCCTGTGAGGATTAAGTGAACTAAGCCTTGAAAACCACAGAGACGGACCTGGCACAGGGCACACGGCTTCCGTGTCATTGGCAGTGCTGATTCTGCACCCTCGTCCCCAGGTGTTGTCCAAGTACCGCAGTGGGAAGCTGCCCAAGGCCTTCAAGATCATCCCTGCGCTCTCCAACTGGGAGCAGATCCTCTACGTCACAGAGCCCGAGGCCTGGACTGCAGCCGCCATGTACCAAGCCACAAGGTAGAGGCCGGGGGTTGGGGGGGACAGGCTTTCCCTGCCATTGTCATTACATTTTAGTCTTGCCCCAGAGCTCTAGCTGGAGCTTCTTTAGATCACTGTTTTCCCAGCTTTCCCATTTCATGTCTCAGCGCCAGGACCCCATTGAGACTCCACTGTGATAAGTTTCCAGAAGCGGGGCTCATAACTATTGGGGGACAACCCCTGGTGTGTCAGAGGGGTTCCTGAAGTCTGTGGCTCCCCAGGCACGCTCGGGTCCCTCGTAACAGCAGGGTAGAGAGAACCCGTGCTGGGGAAGGAAGGGGGATAGCGCAGAGTTCTGGCTGTCCCTAGGACAGTGCTCACTCTGTTTGGGTGCACCTTGTACCCCTCCTGTGGGGTACCTCTCTCATCCGACTCAGGTGTCAGGTGCACACAGCTAACTCCCACACACCCCTCACATCTCTTGTGTGCACCATCCACGGTGATGATTTAAAGCGCCAGAGCAAGGCTCTTGAGTGACCTGGGATCTCCCCCATATCCTTCTTCTTCCCGCCCCCCCCCCCAAAAAAAACCCCTAGGATTTTCGCCTCTAACCTCAAGGAACGCATGGCTCAGCGCTTCTACAACCTTGTCCTGCTCCCCCGGGTACGAGACGACATCGCTGAGTACAAACGACTCAACTTCCACCTCTACATGGCACTTAAGAAGGCCCTGTTCAAGCCTGGAGCCTGGTTTAAAGGTGGGAGCCCAGGAGGCTGCAGAGAGGGAGGGGCTGGAGCTCCTGCGGGTGAAAACAACAATACTGACTTGGGAGATGACTATATCTCGGGTAGGTGGGGGACCTGCTCTAGCGCCATTCTCTCACCCCGGACTCGAGGTGACTGCCCCTCTGACCCTCCCCAGGGATCCTGATCCCACTGTGCGAGTCTGGCACCTGTACCCTGCGGGAAGCCATCATCGTGGGTAGCATCATCACCAAATGCTCCATCCCTGTGTTGCACTCCAGGTAGTGTTGGTGGGTGTGGAGGACAGTCAGTCAGGAGATACCCAGATAGGAGAGTCCCAGGATTGGGGGGGCGGGGGGCAGACAGAATGGAGAAGGAGCTAGAACTGCCCTGGATCTGTGGCTTGTTTATGCTCCTGAGCGTGTTGCTGCTCCACTAGAATGTAAGTTGCCCCACAACAGGAGCCCAGTGCCTGGCACATGGCAGGTGCTCAGTAAACAGTTGAATGAATGAAAGAATGAATGAATGAATGAATGAATGAGGAATGTGGGAAGAAAGTATGTTGGGGGTGGAGATCTTCAGATGCTCGAATCTATTCTAGCCAGATACTGCGACAAGGGGCTGAGTGAGAGGTGGGGACTTGGGGTGCATCTGCATAGAGCTGGTAACTGGGGCCGAGGGGGTGTCAGATTGGGTAGGTGAGAAGGCCTGAGATAGCCTCTTAGGAATAGCACAGTGCAGAGGCCAGCGGAGGAGGAGAGGGGAAGGAAGGACAGGAGAGGGCGGATCTTCCCTCTAGCATCTCCTTCCCCACCAGCGCAGCCATGCTGAAAATTGCCGAGATGGAATACAGTGGTGCTAACAGCATCTTCCTGCGACTGTTGCTGGATAAGAAGTACGCGCTGCCGTACCGCGTGCTGGACGCCCTGGTCTTCCACTTCCTGGGCTTCCGGACAGAGAGGCGCAAACTGCCTGTGCTCTGGCACCAGTGCCTCCTGACTTTGGTCCAGCGCTACAAGGCAGACCTGGCCATGGATCAGAAAGAGGCCCTCTTGGAACTGCTCCGGCTGCAGCCCCATCCACAGCTGTCCCCCGAGATCAGGCGTGAGCTTCAGAGCGCAGTCCCCCGAGATGTGGAAGATGTGCCTGTCACCACGGAGTGAGGAAAGTGATTTGCCCTGGTCTGAGGGGCATGAGGGGACACCAGGATTCCCTGTTGGTGACACGGAGCTTTTACAGCTGAAGTCGGGACAGTGAGAGAGGTCACAGGCATCTGTGACTCCCGATACCTGACAGGGAGGACTGGAGGGTCTGGCTGGCTCCCTCTTCCCTTCCAGGTCTTCGTCCCTACTCGGTTCTGAGACCTGACTTGAGGTGCCCCACACCAGCGTTCCCACTCCCTGGCTGGGGCTTGGAATAGGTTCTTTATCTCAGGCTTTTGTGTCACGTCACTGGGATGTGGGGAAAAAACCAAAGGCAGGTATTTATTGAACTTCTGTGTTTTGATGTGTTCAATGGAGATCTTTTTGCTTTCTCTCTTTAGCTGGAGAGCTCTTCCCTGTTCCTATCTAGGAGTGGATTCTTAACAGTTTACAGAGGATACTCCCCCCCGCCCCCCACCTCCTTATTCTGTAAATTTGTGTCTCCAGGTAGAGCCTTCATAGAGGCAGAGGCTACTTTGGGGGAATGCCAGCGACCAGGAGGTTGTTCAGAAGATGGTCCTGTCTCAGCTGTGTGTGGACTGCTACAGGAGAAAGTCCCTAGAGAAAACCGGAGCTACAGAGAATAAGAAGGTCAGGCCCCGGAATGAGTAGATCCGGAGTCACCACTAGACAGGTTCCCTAACTTTCTTGGCTACTTAAAGCTTTAGACCAGGGGTTGGCAAACTAGAATCATATGCTGGTTTTCTTATGGCCCATGAGCTAATCGTGATTTTTACATTTTTTAAATGGCTGGGGAAAAAATTAGTATTTTGTGATAGGTGAAAATTATATGAAATTGATTTCGGTGTCATAAGTAAAGTGTTAGGACATAGCTATCCCTATCCATTTGTATTTTTATGGCTGGGCTGCTTTCATGCTACAGCAGCAGAGTTGAGTAAGGTTGGACCTTGAAGAGTGCGGGGGTTAGGGGCGCTAGCCCCCTCATGTAGCCAAAAATCTGTGTATAAAACTTTTGACTCCACAAACAACTACCAATAGCGTAGTGTTGACTGGAAGCCTTACTGATAATATAGTCAGTTCACACATTGTGTAAGTTATGTGTCACGTACGGTATTCCTGTTTATCATTACCATAAGTGTATACATCTATTGAAAAAAATCTGCGTATAAGTGGACCTGCCCAGTTCAAACTGTGTTGTTCAAGGGCCAGCTGTACAATCCTTCTAGAATCCTTCTTGTTTGCTTTTGGTGAATTCATTCCAACCCAGTTTATATATTTGGGGAGAAACTGGTCACGAATTTCACATTTATCTTGAGAAACTACGTGAAAATTGCCCAGCTGCGGCAAGCCAGGTACTACAGACTGCACAGGCCTCAGACACCAGCACTACCTCAGTTTACCTTGTGTGGGGGACCACACCCACACCTGGTGTCATAGCTTGCCTTCCACAGCCTTCTAACCTCTGCTTCCACACACACACACACACACACACTCTCTCTCTCTCTCTCTCTCTCTCTCTCTCTCTCTCTCTCTCTCTCTCTCTCTCTCTCCCTCCCCCCCCCCAGGTCTTTTTCAAGATAAAGGGCCATATCGTAGTATATAGGTTCCTTAACCATTTAAAGTAAAAATTAGGCTATCCACTTTATTTCCTTCTTAAAAAAATGTGTCATTCATTAAGTTTTTGAGTATTGTGCCTCAAGCCTGTTTTCCCATAAGCCCTGTGGTTTTTATTGTGCAATTTTGCATGGTGCAGTGAGTTTTAGGAATGCGTACATCCCATTGTAATGCAGAACTGACTATGTCTGGGGGAGAAACCAAATGGCCCACAGAGCCTAAAATATTTACTCTCTGGCCCTTTACAGAAATGGTTTGTGAGGACCCTTGCATCATGACCCTTGACTTCTGCTCTGCTTACATCATGCATTCTAGAAGTAGCTTTTCCCCATACCACCATCCAACCCAAGAAGCCAAAGCCAGGTTTATTCCAGAATCTTTATTAAGGTAGCATGATGGTCCTGGGCCACCAGCCTGGACCTTGTGGCCTTAGGAAAGACCTGTGTCAACAGGGCTTGCCTCCCTCTCCAGACAGGGGCTCAGTCACCTCCAGTTTATCCCTGCTCCATCCCTCACCCCCAGAGGATGGGGCAGAGGGCCAGAGGGAGAGGAGGGCATGGCCCCACCCCAGGCTGTAGCAGCTCCTCGGCCACAAAGATCCTCTAGCCAGTAGCAGAGGGGAGGGATGCAGCAACCACCAGGGTTACCACCACTTGTGGGGTAGGTGGGCCCCACCACACCCTCTTACAGTTGTCCTCAAAACAATTAATAAATTAAAACCACCTCTTCCTTCAGCACTGACCCCCCCTCAATCACACAGGAGAAGCTGAGCGGCAAGCAAAGCAAGGAGGAATTGGTTGGTTCTGCCCCTCTGACAGAGGCCTGGTCCGGCCCTCTGGGAGCAGCTGTGAGCATGGACTATGCAGGGGCCTCCAAAGTATGTCAAGAGGAGCTGTCCAGACTATTACCCCTCACACATGTCTATCAGAATATCTGAAACTTATTCAGAAAGACCCCAATCCAAATGCAAGAACTCTGTAAGGTGCGACACCTTTATAAGGCACTGGGGGCATGTTGGCATCTGAGAACGTGAGAGCCCCAGATATAAGGGGGCCTCAAAAAGGAATGCTGGTACATGTATTTTATCTACTTCAATTTCATTTCTGACCAGCCTGGCCCACCGCCAGCTAGGATCAGGGAAGGAGCAGAGCTGGTCAGATGCAGAGAAAAAGAGGAGCCTGGCTGGCCACCCAAACATGGCTGGTTGGCCAGGCCCCTTAGTGCACACTGCAGGGATAGGTAGGGCCTGACCCCTTCTGCTTTGCAAGGGGCAAATAGGAAAGAGCCCCCTCAGGCTTCAGATGTGGCGTGGTTCGTTCCTGCAGGCAGGGAGGGGGGGTGGCAGTGTCCCCTCCTCTGCTGCCAGTGGCCACTGGAGGGGGCCTCTCCGGGGCTACAGGTGGATGGCTGTGACATCTGTGGGAGTGCTGGTCTGACTGGGCCCCTGGCTACTGGAGCCCCTGGGGGCTTTGGGCGCTGGGCTGGGCGAGGTCTGGGCGGCTTCTCTGAGGCTCTCCCTGAGCGCAGCTTCGATCTGCTCCTGACAGGCCCGCAGGCAGTCCTGCAAACGGGGGAACGGTGAGGAGTGACTGCTGGGTGGGATGGCAGAAGGTCCCCTTTGGGACTAAGGTTCCGCTCCCCACAGCAGCTGGTGGCAGATGCGGGGGAAGGACACCTTCCAGCACACAGGGAAGTGTGGGGAGGTTAGGCCACAGCCCAGCCCCAGGAATCAACCTTCAGTTCTAAGAAACTGCCAAGAGGATGTGGCAAGGGGGTGAGAGAGCAGCCCTGCGTGTGACAGCAGATCCTCCACCCCCACTCCTGCATACCATTTGGCAAGAAAAGGGCACCCAGGGACAGTGCCCTTCAACCCACCCAAGACACCTGCTCTTCCCCAGACCAAGGCAGGAGATAAAAGGCCACACAAGTCCCAAGGGTGGGGCTCCTGAAACCAGAAGCCGGGACTAGGTTAGGGATGCACGCCTCCCTCTGCTGGAGGCCCAGGGAATAGCGCTGCTTCAGGAACTGCTGAGCCAACGCAGCGCCCTGGGGGCCTCCCCCGGCCCGCACTCACCACCTCAGTGCCTGTGATTCCTGCCAGCAGCTCTGTGAGCTCGTCCCCAGACGTGGAACACGCACCCAGGCCTTGCACTGCAGCCCCAATGCTGCCCGTGGCGATCATGGATGGCGGGTACATGGCAAAGGTGTAATCTTGGAAAGAGGGAGAGGCAAGCATGAGGCAAAGGCTTAGTGTGGACTTCCTATAGCTCAGAAAAGTGCCAGGCAGCGAGAACAGGGCAGGAAACTCCCTGCAGTGAGTGCCAGAAGAGCAGCAACAGAGGAGGGCAGGAAAGGGCTGCTCTCCTAGAGGGCACCAGGGTAGACAGCAAACTCCCATGGGTCCGTCAGGTCCAGGGGGGTTGGGAAGTGAGCCTGACCAGGGACCAGGGAGTGAATGAGGCTCTTCCTGATGTGGAAACAAAACCAGGGTCAAGAAGACCTTGGTTCTGCTCCCAGCTTCATCACTGTGAGACCTTGAGCAAGTCACTTCTCTCTCAGCCCCTAAATACTGGGGGGTCTCTCAAATCCCATACAGCTCTGATTATGTTCCGCCTTTTCTGGGCCCCCCAATCTCAAGAGGGGATCGAATATTCACAAATCGTGGGAGGAGTACAAACCACAATCCAGTTACGTGCCACCCTTCCGAAGCTTCGGAATTTCCTCATTTGGCAAAAAATCTTACCTGTAGCACAGAGGGCCAAGAAGGTCTGGGCATGTTTTTTGACCAAGGCTTGTCGGTCCCGGGGCAGAGAGAGCCGGTGCAGAATCAGGGCCAGGAAATCATGGGCAATCACTGCTGCCAGGTCCCACTTGAGCTTCCCCAGGACCAGCACCTCCCAGTCCTGGAGGTTGGGAAAGAGGGTGGAGTCAGTGGCTGAGGAGGGAAGGGTTGGGAGTAAAGCAGAAGTCTCACAGGGAAGGAAGCCCATCAAACTTGAAGGTCAAGACCCCAGCTTTGCTTCTGGGTATACAGACTTGGTGCTGTGGAATGGGGGGTCCAGGGCACAGAAGAACTAGGGGAGTTGGCTTTGGGCACCTACTGTTTGCTTAGTAAGTCCCAAAACTACATGTTTGATAGAAACAGTCTCTTTTCAATCCTGTTTGGTTAGCTTCCGGGGGCCAACAATGTAGGTCTGACCTCATGCAGGGCTCTGGGCACTTCCCCAGCCAGGGCTGAAAGAAAAGACTACAGCAGCAAATACCACCAGCAGCGTCATAACCTTGAGCCTCCTCGGGGGTGAAGCAGAAAGACTCTCCGAAATCCCAAGGACTTGAGAAAGGGCAAGACCACCACTAGCCTCTCCTCCAATTCTGCATCCCAGCCAAGTCCACACCCCTTGAAGAAACCAGAATGAACGTGAGGCCACGCCTTCTGTGACACAGCCACTGAACCAAGCCTGAGGTTCCTCAAAGGGGAGGTTGCCCAACCCAACCCAACCCACATCCCATTGGTGGGACACTGGGTGGGGGGGTCTGACATGTAGCACCCCATTCCACCCCCTTTACCTGGAACCACAGTGGCTAGTGTCATTTAAGTCTCAGGAAGCCAAGGGGAGGCCAAGCCCGAAAGGATGGGTCCAGATGATCCCTGAGAGACCAAACCCTATCTTTGCCTGCTCACACCTACATACCACTGCTAGGTCCTGGAGGGAGG